AAATCTGACAAAATAAAATAAGTCTAAACAATGTTATCAATGCTCCGAGGAATATAAATAAACTACACAGAACTAATCTAATCTGTAACTACACATAACAGGTAGGTGCCAACAAAATCAGAAACATGACTCCGTAGCAATTCAGCACTCAAAAACAAAAGTTCTGAAAATGATTTATCTTGCACCTGAAATACATTTTTCTCAAAGCAGCAACTGATTGGTTTTATGTTTTTCTTATAAAACCTAAAGACGAGGTATATCTTGAGCTAGTTTTTGCAATGCCTAAACATCAATCTCTCTTTTTCTCTAAATGTGTCCCCCACCTTTATTTGAAAGAATTTTCAGCTGGTTGACTTACTTTTATCTTTGATACAAAACAAGAGACCTTTGAAGTGATGTTTTGGCTTTGTGGAGGCAAAGCCCCAGTTTCCAAACTGAAATACCCGAGGAGGCCAAAGTTCTGAAAAAAGAGCATTTTCTACTTCTCAGGTTAATGTCCTGGCAGCCTACCAGCACTGCCTCTCCTATCAGTCTAATTATTAATGAGAATCTTGGGTATCATACCAATCATTTATTTTGATGATGCTTTTTTACAGTGTGAAATTACAAAGAACCAATCTTCTAATAGAGAGAAGAGAAGCAGATCGATGAATGGCTCTAAAGTAAAAGTGCAAAATGAAATGTGCCCAGTTTCAGCCTCAGTGCCTGAGGTCTACACCGAAGGCATCTTGTCACACTTCCAGACACCCTTGAGGTATCACATACATCAAGTTTTAAATCAAATTTCTAGAATTATATAGTCACAGAGTTAGAGCTAGACAGGCCCCCTCTATGAGAGGACCATCCTCACATGACAGTCACACTTTAAAAGGAGAGAACGATGCCAGACAGCAGAGCCCGTGAGTGTGTCTTCGGGGTCCCTTTGTCTCTGAGTCTTGGTTTCTTTGTCCCCAAACAGATTAGAGTAACACTCAGATCCTCACATAAATGACTTAGGGTCCTCCCAGATCTGGCAGGTTCTGAGGCCTTGCCAGAAAGATCCTCACACATCTGACAATGAAGGGGGCCCCATCTCAAGCCCTGCATATGCAACCTGAGCTTAGGTCCCACCTCCAGATCTGGGTCTTCAACCTTCTCATCAGAAAGGAATTTCCTACTTAAAAGTACTGACCACTACATTCGTTTTTAAAAAGTAATCCCCTAAGGCTTTTAAAATCTAATTTGCTTTGTCTACAAATAAAAAGTTTACACTTTTCAAAACCACATACAATCCTTTTAAACTGTTTGAATTTTTTAGGACTTGTATGAGTTTTTCACTACACAAAGACAACAAAGACGGGTATTAGACTTATTGGAGTGGTCACTTTGTAAGTTAGATAAATGTCTAATCACTATGTTGTTCCCCTAAAACTAATATAATATTGTATGTCAACATAACTGAAAAATAAAAAATAAAAAGACAACAAAATTAGTTAATACAAAACAAAAAAAAAACCGGCAAAAGAAACAAAACTCTAGTGGCTCTTAAAAAATAGTAAGCACAAAAAGCCAAAGATTTTGTATTACACTTCTTTATATATTCGCCTACCCCCAGACCCACAGGTAACTTGGCCTACGTTTTGTTTTGTTTTTTGTAGCCATAACTGATAGCACAATTTTGAAACAAATCAATAAAAGCTACTTTTCAAAGTAATATGCACACATATTTTAATACAGTACTTTAAACTGTATTTAAACTGGCGTTTCAATGGCTCAGATACTCTTAAATGACATAATAGACGAAAGTAGAGAACTGCTGACTAATTTTAAGTTATGTTAAGACACAAAAGAGAGGATACCATCCTTGCTCAGTGCAATTCACTTCTATTCAGATCTCAGTGAAGAATAAATGTGCCCAAATTCAAGCCATTGAACACGAGGCATGTAATACAATTCTTCTGAGCAAACTTCAAGTGTCCAATCCTTTATGAACAGACATCAGGTGCAAGAACTTGGAATGTTCTGTTTCAGGGGCAGACGCATTTGTCGGGCTCATCAGAAGACACAGGAAAGGCCTACAGCACTTCGCATGCTTCTGAGAAGTCTTTACGCTCCTTCCCATGGAAGCAAATGAGAGTGGGCCTTCTCACCACATTCCCTTCCAGTAAAAAGGTCTTTGCTAATTTGCATAATCTAAACGGTGAAGTAATTTTCAGAGCGTACTTCCAAACGGCTTGCTTTTCGCTGGGTTTTTAACAGGAGGGAGGCCCTCTGAATTCGCCGCCCACTGGCTCCGAGGCTCCCAGCCGTGGGGAGCCGCAGGGAGACCAGACAGAAGGCGGGCTGAGGAAGCAAACAGGCTTCGGGCTTCTCTGGGCTGTCCCCGCGGACGCACACAGCATCACACACAGTCATTCCCCCGCAATGCGCGCCTGTCAGGCAGGCCCGAAAGGTCTAACTCTCAGGAAAGGCACAGCAGCGTCAAGACCCACGAGGGCCAGGGGCTGGAAGGCTGAATGTGCCATTCCAAACCTGTGTGTCTGTGTGTGTGTCAGGGTGAACATGTGTGAGGTGTGTGAGCATGTGTGAGAGTGTGTGAAGTGCAGCATAAAAACAAGCAGCAGCCCTGACTGGTGTGGCTCGGTTCGTTGGGTGTTGTCCCACAAAGCAAAAGGTCGCGGGTGCTATTTGGGGCATGTGCCTGGGTAGTGGGTTCGATCCCCGGTCGGGGTGTTTATAAGAGGCAACTGATCATGTTTCTCTCCCTCTTGTTCTCCATTCCTCCCTGTCTCTCTAAAAACAGACAAACAAATAAATAAATATTTAAAAACAAGCCCCAAAGGCTAGAGAAGAGAACAGGGTGTTGGTATTGTGGCACCTAAGACAGCGCTGGCTCAGGTTTTATCTAGAAAACACTGAAAAGCCCAGCCGAAAGGCCCAGCCAATCAAGATGTCTGGCCTTCTGTAGACAAAATGTCAGTACCAGGCAATCAAGGGGTTTTTGACCCAAAGAGCAGATGTGATGGTGTCGCAAATAAGTCTCCACATGACAGTCTGTACAAAAGAAAACTCAGCTTCTCGTGCAAACACTCAACCCAAAGCTCAAACATCCCCAGGATCGCGTAATTTCCAGTTGGCTACTGGCCTCCACCCCACCCCCTGCACTCCCCATCGGCCTCATGTGACTCAGAGAGCAAAGCTGGCAGGGGACTCTTCCCTGCCCCTGCCCTGTGGGTGTCTGGAAACCCTTTTAAAGGTGGGAGGGAGGCTGGACAAAGGGCAGGCCTCATCTCTACCTCTGGACCTGGTAGCTACCTTGAAAACACCACTCAACCAACCCTCTGGCTTCTCAGTCAGCTTCCCTCTGGCGAACGGAAAAAAAAACAAGGATCGCCTGTCACTATTTATCTCCCCTTTAACTCACATCCAGGCAAGAGCCCTTTCCAAACCTCAAGACGCACACACTGTTTTGAGAACGGGCCAATAGGAGCTGCTAATCCACCACTAGGAAGGGCGAATGGAAAGTTGGAGAACAAGTTAAAGCATCTTGGCTGTGCCAGCGATGCTTCGGGGTTTGAAAAGCAAATGGGTGGAGTGAACAGAGGACCACCTCCTTCACTGGGCCTTTAACTGTAGGCAAGAAGGCAGAGAAAGCGGGGCCCCATCTCCAGGGAGAAGCACTTGCCACCTGTCCTTTGCCACCGTCCTCTTCCAGGGGACCGTCCTTCCTCTAAAGGCGGTGTGCCTGTGCTGGAGGGCCCTGTCCTGGCCACAGAATACCAGGCTGATGGGGGCCAGAGTTTGTGTACACATTTGCGTCCCCATCATCGACAGAAAGCGTGGTTCCACGAAAAGAAATGCCTAGCCTTCAAACACCCAGACTGTGATTTCTGCAGTGGGAGTGAGAGAGAAACACGCTTTCAGGCCCAAAATACCTTAGACAAGGATGGAGAGCAGAACTATAAAGTTCTCAGTTGCTGCGGTTTAAGTCATTGAGACACAATGAATAGCAGTATATATTCAAGACGAAATCACGAGGCTACCTACTACAATAAAACGCAGACTTTCCCCAAGGTAGCACAAGAGCCCCTTGCATGTTAAACTAGGAAATTCCCCAGACTCTGGAAAAGCTAAGAGAAAGTCCAGACCTTTTCAGAAGTGCTAGCTTCGACTCTTAAGTCTTCTGTAAAACACTCTGATCCTCCTAAGAGTGAAAACAGCTGAGGACTGAGATTAACCACAGCAGAAATAAACTCTTGTCCATGGTCCCAGCCAGGGCAAGAGGTCAGTGTGACAAAATCTACCTGTATCAACCAACAAGCACATCCATTAAGTGGTGTCTACCGTAGGGATATCACCCAGGTCCCTATCTCAGGCAATTCGACCTAATATAACATTCTATGATTAAGGAAAACAAAGCATGGTTTTCATTTTAATTCATACAGCAAACTGTATCTTAGTTATGCCAGCCCCACAGATGCTGCAATGTCTTGACTTAACTTACTGAGGCTAAGTGCTTCTTCACCCAACAGACCCACCACAACCACATCTACAGGTTTCAGGACGCTGCCAGAGAATCACACCACTCAGTATAGAGCTGAGTGAATTCAGTGATGTCCTGGTCAGTTCTACTGTGCCTACAAGGATCGCAGAATTAAGAGGTTCGCCAGAGAAAAGCTACCCTCAGCAGCTCTGATCACCTGTGGGGATTAACCAGGAAGGTTTGGCAACCTTCACGAATGTAACCTTCCTAAGAAGTGAGTGCTGACCCACCAGAGGTCCCATAAAAATTGTTTTTTAAGATGTATATGGAAAATAGCAATTGAAGAAAGTTGGGTTCCCTGTCCAAGCTACAAAGTGTATGGTCAGAGCCTAGGCACCTGCCCAGGAAACACACCTGGAGTAACTGTGACTGTCCCAAGGCCTGTCAGAGTCTTCATGATTCAGTAGAAAATCAGAAAAGCAGAGGACGCATAAGGCACGAGAGCACTTCTTGAAAAAAATCTCAGGGCAAGACTTACCACTCTGGGCTTCTGCTGGTCCAGGGTATGGAGGAAGGCGGAGTTGGGGTCCAGGCAGCGCTCAGGGTCGCTGGAGATGTCCTCTTCTGAGTCGTCATAGGAGGAGGAGAAGCCAGTGGAGGAGGCGGAGGAAGAGGATAGTTTCCTCAGGGGAAGGCTGCCCAGGGGGCTGCCCTGTGTCTCCTCCAAGACGCCGTCCTCCTGGGCGCCCATGTCCGTGATGATGACTGCAGGTATATTGCTGGGGCTGCAGGCCTCCCTGGGAGAAGCCTTGTCCCTCTGATCCGGGGAGAGCAACTCCAGGCTGGGGTGGGTGGCTTTGTCCTTCGGTGGGCTTCCCCAAGTCCCCTGGGATTGTACCCCAGTGCCACACGTCCAGGCCAGAGGGGCTTGCTCCATGGGAACCAGCCAAGCCCTGGAGCTCCCAGGCTGCACACCCACCCCAGCTCCAAGAAGGCACTGAGGTTCTTTCACATCTTTTGCCGCTTCCCAGCGGGGCAAAGGTTCCAGCATTCCGCCAGCGGGAGTTCCCGCCTCCACCTTCCCTGCACCTGACTGTGCTGAGCTGCTGCCCCCACGCAAGCCCAGTGTCGCAGATTCTTCATCCACTCTGTTGGAGAGCTGCGGAGGCTCCTCGACCACCGAGGCCCCGCTGTGAGTCACCTCGGGCCCCACGGAGCCCAGGTCTCCTGACGGCCTGAACCAGCGCGGGGCCGCAGAGGGCTTTGAGCTCTGCGCGTCCACAGTCCTCTCCTCTGGCCTTCCTCCCAATTCCGGCTCCCCGGAGCCCGGCAAGCCACTAGGCAGATCTCCTTTCGCCACCTTCCCAGGGGGATCTCCACCACGGGGCCCGCCCTTCTCTGGGGCTGGCCTTGTCTCTCTGCCCGGAGACTGCCCCTGACTCTCCAACAGGGTCGGGGAATGTACGCCCCCAAGCTCCCGGGGCCTTTCAAACAGCTCAGCGAGGGCAGGGTCATAGGGATGGTGAGGCCCAGTGGATGTAGCTCCCGCTGCCACTTCTGTGGCCATCACGGAGTTCGCTCCGTCCAGCCCCAATGAGGGAGCTTGGCAGCTCAGAGTTCCCAAGAGAGGGGAGACCCTTTTGTCAATTTCCATAGCGGTGGGTGAGCCACAGTGGGGTCTGGCAGGAACCCCCTTCTCAGTTATCACGGAAGCGGGTGCACCCTGAGCCCCTGAGCCCGACGGGGAGGCCAGGCAGGGAGAAGGTGCCACTCCCACCTTGTCCTTGGAGAGGCTTGGGCTGGACGCCCTTGCTCTCCTTCCGGAGCCGGCCTCTGAGGTCTCTGGACATTGCTCCCCCCAGGACTTGGTCCTCCGTTCCTCGCTCTGAGCCAGGACCCTTCCTGGGGGCTGACTGCTGCTGCGGAAGGGACACGGGGAGGGCGAACGCGCCCTGCCCAGACGCGGGCTGCGGGGCGCTTGAACGGCGGAGCTCTGCGCCTGGATGTGCGCCTCGAACATGCCCACTTTCTGGTTCACCTGCACGTTCTGCAACTCGCGCTGCAGGATTCGCAGCTTCCTCTGGGCCTCCTCCGGCCCTGGAGGGGAGAGGGGACCGGCGGTCACCACCTGCTGCCCGTCCCCTCTCAGGCGACCCGCCCAGCTCGGGCTGCCCACGCTGCTGCTGCTGCTGCCGCCACTGCCGCTGCTGCTATTCAGCCTGCGCCGGCCACTCCGCCAGCGCCCGGGGCTGCCGGGCTCCTCAGGCGACAACGACTCGGTTGGGGGGAAGAGGAAAGAGGAGCCTCTCCCGGGACTGAAAACGCTGCCGGGGCTCAACACGGCGCTCCCCGGCGGCGGGGGTGTCTCGCTGCTGCTGGCCCGGGGGGCGCCGCTGCTCTTCACCTGGTTGGCGCTATTCATGATCACCAGGCTGTTGAGTGCATAGCAGTACACAGCCATAGTACTGGGTCCCGCGCTGCCCGCCGCCGCCGCGGCTCCCGCTCCGGCTCCGCCGCCCGCGCCTCCTCCTCCCGCGGCTCCCGGCTCAGCCCCGGAGGCCCGGCCGCCGCCGTTCCGCGCGCAGACGTAGTGGCATGGCCTGGGCGGCAGGCGAGGGGCAAGACCTCGGGCTCAGCCCCCGCCCAAAGCTCCATAAACAACAGCGCCGCTGTGGAGACACAAGAAGAAAAGTCAGGACCCCAGAGGGCCGGCGTGGATCTGTCGGGGATCGGGTGCCACCGGACGTCTCACCTACTGACTGGGATTGCGCGAGGACACAAACCCTCGTGGCGTCAGTGGCCAGCACGGTAGTGGGTGTGCCTTTCCCGAGCGTGCTCCCACCCCTCACCCTAGATTTTGATGTGTATGGGGCTGCCTTCAAATTCAAAATTCTAAGACTCGTCTCCGAAGCCACGCGGATGGGCGGGGGCTGATGTAAAAGTACTTGGTCCCTAAGTGTGCTGTGTGCGTGGCGTGGCTGCCTCTGCGAGTGAGGACACCCATCCACCCTCTCCGGGTGTTTGGACTGAGCAAATATTGGTTATATTGGGTATAACGGGGCCACCCCCGCCCCCGGACTTCAGGACGTCCCCGCTCAACCCTCTCTGGTCATTGGGGACCGACTCAGACGGAACAAGGGCGGGAGCTGCCTTCCCCCCAGCGGCTGCCTGCGTGCCGGTCTGGGAAGACCCTGCATGCCTGACGTTTACCTTCCCGACCCTGGTCTTAGGACCGTGTTTCTCGGCCGACGATGGTCTGGGCGTGCGGCGGGGCTGCAGCCGAGGCATTTTCCAGCATCGGCTTTGTCGCCTGTCCCCAAACAAGTGTGTTTTGTGAGTGTGGGCGCGCCTGCGCGCGCCCGGGCCGAAGAGCTGCTCGTCCCCCAAACCGGAACCAATACTCGCTGCCCACTGCCGTCGCCCCCTGCGGAGGGGCGTGTGTTAGTGCGTGTGTGCGCCTGTGTGTGTCCGCGCACGGACAGCGAGTCAGTCTCCACATGCCCTGTGCCCCAGCACGCAACTGTCTTTGCGGGCTTCGGGACCACCGCCCACTCGGGGAACTCCAGGGCGTGCGTGGCTGCAGCTGTGCGGGATCCCGGGCTCTGCAAACCTTACGGGGGCCCGATGTCGAAACCCCTGGGCAGCGCGACTATGTACACAGCTTCTCCGCATGCTGGGAAGCCTTGCCCAGTGCCCATGGAGCCACCAGGCCGCCCGCGCCGGGGAAGGCGGCGCGGAGCCGGCGGCCCGGAAGGCAAGCAGGAGAAACGCCGACAACTCGCCTCTGCCTGCTCACCCCGCACCCCAACTCCGCGCTACCCTCCCAGATCAAACTCCTTTCCCAGTTTCCCCAGCCCAGCTCTGTGCGCTTTTTTAAAACCCGGAATGCTCAGATTCTCCCCAGAACTGGGAGGAGAAACAGGGTTCAGAAGCGAGAACCATTAAAAAGCCACCAAACTTACCTGCAATTTCTCAGACTCCAGGGTCCTGTGCAGACGACATGGCCCAAGAACAAGATGGCTTGAAAAGTAACAAAGCTCAGAAATGATTTCCTCTCCGAGCTATGCGAAACAAAACAGGAGAGTGCGAAAGAAAGAAAAACGTTCCTGGGGCTGGAACCCGGCGATCCGGCGGCGGCGCGGGGCGGCCCTGTACGCCCTCCTCGGCGGGGAAGATACCAGTTCTGTCCGCGTCCACTGGGCTACTTCAGAGTTTGTTCAATATGCAATTAAAAAAAAAAAAGTTGAGGCGCGGGGCGGGAGGGGGGGTGCGGTGGAGGAGGGAGGAGGTTGAAAGGCGGGGGTTTGGGGGAGGAAAGCAGGAAGGAAGTTGTGAGCCTGTCTGGGGTTGAACTCAGCGGAACAAGTTTTTCTTTTCTTCTTTTTTTTTTTTTTTTTTCTATTGCTTGGCAAGACCGAGGGAGGGAAACACTTAAAAAAAAAAAGTTTCCATTGTTAGCTAACCAAAAAAAAAAAAAAAGAAAAGAAAAAAAAGGCCTTTAACTTTCGCGGGTTAAAGATATACAATCCATTTTTCCACCCCTCTGTCGAGCCTTGCTAATGTCTAGCTTTATGAAACTTTTTGAAAAATGTTTTTAATAAAATTTTGAGTGTTCATTTTAAGCAAAGCAAATAATGGGGACCATGTTTTAGCATTGAATGGGCTAAAATCCTACTTAAACGGTTTGTGTTCCTGTACACAAATATGCAAATTCAAGGAAGGGACTTTGTGGGCACCTCGTTGCAAAGTTGCAGATTTTAAATGCATCAGGCTAATATTTTGGAAGACAGGTTGGGCTGTGAGCTGCTGATGGTTTTGCAGTGCAATTGCTAGTTGTATAAACAGGCCTTTATCTGTTACTAAATGCACACAGCAAATGTGACACTGGCATATTTTTGCCCTTCTCAAAGTGATTTTTTTAAAAAAAGAACAGTCCTGGAACTAAGAAAGCCCTAGACCCTCTTGCTCAGCCTCCTGTAGCTCATATTCAAAAGCCCCCCCACCCCCATTTAGCTAAAAAGGATGAAGGTGCATCAGCCCATAGTACTGGACTGGGGGTCCCGCCCAATTTAAGCTGGCCCTACAGTGTGTTTTGCATAATTCTCTAAATTCTAAACTACACCATTTAGCGAAAAGGGAAAACAGAGTTACCAGGCTCAGGAGATTTAAAAATCTAAATCCTGAACCAGTGCTCCCATTCCCATGAGCTAGAATTTAAATGAAAATTTTGACTTTGCTGGTAGCAAACCCATCTCTTGCTTATGCAACGCTCTTTAAAGTGAGCAAAGCAACCTGCTGCTCCATCAGGGAAAAACCCATGCTCATTCTGAAACCAAGAGGTCTCCTAGCCAAGAATTCCTGGGAATCAGACATGTCCAGTTCTTTTACATTTTTTTTTAACGTGCTGTAAAAGGATTGAGCCTAATTCCTCTTCCACTCTTCCATGGGCTCGATAAAAAGAGCTCAGAATATATATTTAGGTGTTGACTCAGAATCTGGGTAGTTGTTAAGTCCAAAAAGCCAACACTATCCTTGCCCCTCATTCAGTTCCCCTAATGGCAAGAAAGGGAAGCTGCCAGCTCCCAGGAAACCCACTCCGTGGAGTTTATTTCTGACTAGTCTAAGAGGTGCAAACACCATGTCAAGTGTCGCGGTGGAAGCAACCGGCGGATCCAGCAGTGCATACAGCGAACACAGGAACTCAGCTTGCCAGCCCTGGGAAATCTCACTGTCACCTGACATTAGGGGCCTTTCCCAGAATTAAGAAGTTCAGGCTTCCTGAATGTACAATCAGCCTGAAGAGTTCTTGCGCGCAAGGCAGCCAATGGCTGGTCAGGTGCTGCATAGAAAAGGGATTCCTGCCTTGGTTGGGCTGGAGGTAGGGCTACCGGCCTAAAATTCTAACGCTGCCAGCAAGAATGGCCGGGATTGGGGAAAGGATGGAGCAAAACCCATATCTGGAAGCCAGCATAGTTGACCTGCATCCTGAAACAGAATCTAGTCATCTTTCATGAATTTTAAGTGAACATAAGAGAAAAATTATGTAGCATTTATTATTAGCCAGGCACTGTGCTAAGCATATTATAAATACTTACACATTTTAATCCTCATAACAACCTAACAAGGTAGATTCTGTTATTATCCCAATTTTATAGATGGGGAAATTAAAGCACAAAACAGTGACTAATTTGCCCCAAATTCTATAGCAGGTAAGTGGCAAGGCTAGGATTTGAACCTGGGAAGTCTGGGTTCAGAATCTATGCTTATCACTATTTCTCCATATTCTATACTTGTTATCTAAAACTGTAAAAGCAGTTTGCCTAATTTTTCAGGGTTCTCATCTTCACTCTTTTAGAATGGAATTCTAAAAACCATAGCTATGAAAATACGCACAGAAGGGGATTTTCTCAACTTGATAAAGGATACCTATGAGGAAACCCACAGCTAACATCACACTTACTGGTGAAGGAATGAATGCGGGCCCACTATGATCAGAAACAAGGCAAGAATATCTGTTGTTACCACTCCCACTCAACATTGTACTGGATACCCTGGTCAGGACAGTTAAACTAGAAAAAGAAACGAAAGGCAGCTGAAATTCTCTGAGTCTCCACTTAGCTCAGTAGAGTGGCAAGTATTATAATACCACTCCCATGGTGTTCTTAGGAGACCTCTTAGTTAATGCGCAGTTAGGCACTCCAAAGAATATACTTCTTTAAAAAAGTAGGCTCCCACCCCGCCCCCGGCCAGCATCTCATACCAAAAAAGATTCAAGAGTTAGTGGATCTAAGACTCTGCCTTACACGTAGCAGGTACTCAATCAATAGTTGTTTCTAAATGAGCTTCTTAAAGGCACCCAGAGGCCCCTTCTCCCCATGCTGCCCTGGCCCCCTGGTGACGGTGATGGCACCAGACATGGGGGAGGGGTCTGGGGTTCTCCTGAGCAGTGTGTCTTTGCTCCATCTTCAGAAGCTCTGAAATCTAATGACATTGACATCGAGATGGCTTCGCCCACAACCAGATGTAAAACCACATGAGAGATGCCTGTTTGCAGCCCACCTGCCCTTCCCAGAGGATCTGCCTGCCCTGTCCCCTATTAGAAATGCTGGGAATCAAAGCGCCACTCTGCGCCCGCAGCTAAGTAGACCAAGGTGGGCAAGGGTCCCACAGACAGCTAATGCATGACCTGGTTCAGGACTGGCGTGAAGGCATGAGAACTGAACAGAAAGGCCACGTCGTAGACCTGGGGTTCACGAAGCAGGAGTATGCGCTCTGAAGGAGAAACCAGTAATGAGCAAAGGGGTCTGAGTGAGTAGAGGGGGTAGTGACAGACAGACATGTCTGGACAAAAGAAGCCACAGCGCCTGGTACAAGCCATGGAGAGAGAAAGGCAGAGATCCCCTGGCTAGCTGGTGGCTTCCCAGACTCCACTCTCAGGAGTCTGGCAGGTTCTGTGTCTGCCCTGAGCTTATGTGAGTAGCTATAGCGTTTCTATGAACAGCCTGCCCCCCTCCCAGCCACCTAATACCTTGCCCTACACATAAATATTTATTCATGATTAATTCCTTAATCTTTCAAAAACACTATTTTAAAAAAGATAGCCTTATTTATTTTAAACACACACACAGCCTTGCTGCCCTCTGCCACTACCACTAAGTGACAGAATCTGGAATAGCAAAATACAAATGGCAAACATCATGATTCTAGGCTGATACGGAAAAGGAAAAGTTCACTTTGACCCCCACCGCCCCAGTCCTAGTTAGATGTCTCCCCAGACACAGCCCATAGTCTCGGGGCTTCCTGTATTATAATAGATGAAAATGTATTCATCTGCCTCTCAAACATTTTCCCAACACACTCTGTTGTAATCTGCTTCCTTCTGTTTCGTTCTCGTTGGGGCCGAGAATAAATAATGCCTTGTTCCCATTGGCACCTGCAGTGCCTGCTGTAGGGAAGGTACTCGACAGTGTTTGTTGAATGATCAATGACTCTAACTTGGGCAAAGGCAACAAGCAGAATTTTCTGTGTCTCCTAAACTCAGAGGGTACGTGGAGGGAGGTGCTGGAAAGGGACACAGGCCGACTGAAAATATTCCTGCAGCAAAGCATAGGACACCAGCAGGTATACAGCACTCCACTTACATGTGGACACTGAAGCAATGATCTCGTTTCTTTCTTTCTTTTTTTTTGGTATTGTATTTAATCTTTATTGTATTTTTTTAATATTACCTTTTCATCCTCTTTTACTCCCCTCCCTCATTTAGTTTCAAATAGACTTGTCAGCCATTCAGACAACTGATTCTGCACGGTTGGATTGGCTTTGTTGCAAGTCTGACTCAAACGCAGAGACCCAAAAGCCATGGCTCCGCCATTACCTGAGCCCGGGGTTTTTATATATACCATGCTTTTCATTGTCTGGAGACAATCGTGAACGGCTAAGAGATGGATTAAAAGGATACGATCCTGCTTTTGCTATCTAAATGTGAACTTGGCCAACTTACACCCTCATGTTGAAATGTGGGGTGAAGACTTGTTCAGTCTAAAATGAGCTGTCAAAGATACTGGCTCTTTGCAGCGCACACCCCCCTTCTCCAGGGATCCCCTGCTCGCAGGGCCTGTTTGTGACAAAAGCTGCTCTGGTTGTAGAGGTTACACTTCCCAGCCTCAGCCTCGACACCCTTCTCTGGGTAACTGGACCCATGTGACATCTGTGCTCCCCCAGCGACAAAAGAAAGTGGTGAGAAAGAGCATCAAGGACATGTAAATTGCAAGACATTTACAAGGCTTTTTTTTTTTTTTTTTTTTGAGGTTTTGATGTAATCAGTCTTGGGTTTGAGTGGTCTCAATCGGCAAGTCCAGGAGAACCAGAGAGGGCCATTGGTCAAATCTGTCCCCTCATTTAATATTTTAGGAACAGAAAGGAAGTGTAATGTTTACATCCTGGGTCTTTAAGGGCGAAGTCTTAAAAAGGTCACCATGTAATGTTTTAGCACAAAATAGACGGCTATCTCCAGCAGAAAGAGGAAGTTTCTTGGGCCTCCTTTTCTCCCGTCCTTCACAATGAAGGAACAGTGTTAGCAACATGAGATTTTATCACTAGTGTTTGCAAACCACGCTTCAGCAGTACTTCAGGTGTCTACAGAGTTTGTCTTGTGTACCCACCAACGCAGCCACTTCAGCTCTC